CTTGGAACCAGTTTTCAGTCTATTATTTATAGATGATTAATGGTCATAGCTTATTAAGTACAACATGATCGTTTATTTAGTGACTATAATTGTGTGAAACTGATTTGAGGCTTGGCATAAATATAAATATTGTGGCGTAATTGTCGAGATATTTGGAGATATTTATTAATGGTGGGTCACCCTACCAGTGCATCTTATTTTGTGTTAGGAAACCAAAATGTCTGTGTTCTAACTTTTTATATAAAATGGGGTTTAATGTCTTACGTTCTGCACCGATGGGGCTAATGAAGTTGGGCATATGCCATTCAGTGTGCAAGGAGGGTAAGTTTGCCCGGACAGCGGCGCAACGGCTTACTCTGATATCAAATTTCAAGGGTCACAAGAGGAAACCAGGCGGGAAAAATTCCAGGGAAATTGCTCGGCGACCTAGTGCCGGGGAAATTGCTCGGTGGGTGGGGTAGGTGGCCGAATGGTTAACGCGTGCGCATACGATTACAAGGTTTGTCATTGAGTCGGAGAGCCACCGCATGTTCATCGATGAGAGAGATTTTTTTTTTGGGGGGGGGAGATAACATTCATTAAACACAAATTAGGTGATTCCGTGACTGACTAACATAAGACAATATTCATTATAATAATACGCATGCACTCGGTGGTCTATAGAAATAGGCGGCAATCAGCTCCTTGTCACGTACACGCGTGGGATCCAAACCGATGGATCTCTAACGTTCTAATACGCACGACAATCTAACTCCCTATGTATTTGGGAAGTTTAGGTTTCGGGTGTAAATTCTCAACGGTGTCGTTTTTCAGAAAGAAAACAGAAACCGGAACCTCCCTGCCTTGGTTCAAAATACAGGATCAAGTCCTCCGAATAAAGCGCATTATTCATATGACATTTTTATTGAATTGAAATTGGGTGAATTCTTACACACCTATATCAATTCCTATCTTAAATGTTTCAGCCTTTAAATGCCATGACGTTGATTCAAATTGTGTCACGTTTCGGAATGTGAGACAGAATCTAGCTCAATGACATCACTGGATGAATTTTGTTTGGTCTGTCTATTAAAGTGGCACTACTCTGATTCCAACCTATGAAAAGCTGGATGTTTTTAATTAAAATTGGGGGATCACGTGGCTAAGTGGGTAAGACGCTAGCTCGCTAGTCTGGAGGTCGGGTGTTCGATCCCTGCATTGGCCGAGAAAGTTCATCCAGATTTTCCGGCGTGGTTCTCCCTTGTCAGTGATGCAGGACGGAGGGGCTGACAAGGAAAGCTGTCTAGTCGTTCGGATGGGACGAAAAACCGAGGTCCCGTGTACACATTGGCGTGCACGTAAAAGATCCCTTGGCAGTTGGAATTCGATATAAGAGTAGGCCGTAGTGCCGCTGTCCGGGCAAAATTTCCCTCATAGCACACTGTATGGCGTATGCCCGTCTTCATTAGCCCAGGTTAGGAGCAGAACAGGACGTTAAACCCCAGTTCATTTCATTTCATTTAATTAAAATTGCTAAATATGCATATTAATTTCAAAATTCTAGAAGTCCAAAATGAAAAACGTAAGAGATATTTTTTTTTGAATTCAACATAATTTGTTTGAGTGTGGGATCTTCTGGGATGGACTCCGAATCCCCTGTTTAGTGACTCATTCACAATCAGTTTGTTAGGGATCCCTTGGAGATAGAATTCGGTGGGTAATCAGAAATGCCTCCCTCTGTACAGCATTCTAACCATTATTTTCACCATGTGTCCAAGCAGCACGAGATAGAGTACGTTAACCCTTTGTGGAACACTTAATTCCACCTCTCATTCACATGTGTTGTACCTTTGTATTGTCTGGAAAAACATATGATTAGACTCACCTTCCAGATGTATCTTTCAGCTGTTGTTAATTATCAATACACACTGGGCTAATCGAGTCTAATCTGATTGAATCAATCGAGCATCATTGTCAATAACAAACAATATATCTCTGTATCAATTCTCACTGGTCTAATCGAGTACATTCCCATTACATCAATAGACCATTATTACCACTAACACGAGATTTGTCAGGAATTATTTTGTCTATAATTTTATCGTCTGTCATAAGTAAGACAAATAAACCCACCTTAAATTCACCCGAGTCGGGAAACGATTGAAAGAGACTAGACGAGATATGATACCCTAGAATAAAACGTGTGCTGCATTATTGCATGTCTGGGCTATTTGGAACCATTGTAACGACTGTATTGCAGAAATTGCAAGACAATAGATCTATTTACAAGGAATGAATGTACACTCTTTCAAGAACTTCTTGTTTAATAATACAATAACGCACACGCTTAAAAAAACCGTCTCGTATAGCAATAATGCACTCGCTTTTAAGAACGTTTTGTATCACGTTCTCGTTAGTATGAATTGTTTGATGTTGTAACAACCTGTATTGTTTTATTTGCCCTCCCATTCCAATAATAACTGTTTAAGCGCCCCTTGTGTCTCCAGGCGTTATACCGATAACACAAATCTTAAGAGAATTGTTTCTAATATTATAAAAGGAATAACTCAGATGTTCTTGTACTTTGATTCAATTTTTTGCAAGCAGGAAGGGCTTCTCTGACTATCCGGTCCGCCTCTTTTGCACGCGATTGAAATATGTTAAATGATTTATCTGTTTTTATTGTTTAGCTCAACAAAATACATTCAATGTATCTCCACTTTTCGAAAAGATTCAAAAAATGCTTTTAAAACCAAAACAAAAAAGACGAAACAATTCTAAAGTTCCTTTCAATCCGTGCATAACATACAGTCATCGAATATTTCCTATACACTCCCAGGTCAGTTGGGAGAGGTGATGATATACCATGTAGCATACTACATCAAACAATACCATTCTGATTAAACCCCATATTTTTTTTAATTTGTTTTTTTATAATTACGAAATATAGATCTGCATTTTAATCAGATTCAAATAATACCACTTACTTCTGCGATATTCTGCTCATTCAAATATTAATAAAATATATTTATATTTATATGTATCCTATTTTAAGTATATATGGATTTGGCTTGTTCCTTAAACCTATTTTCAGAAAAAAGATGTTTTTAAAGAAAAGGGTTCACTTTGTACTGTTTTAAAGCAGATCGTTCTAAATATGTACGAATGAGGTAGCACAAGTATTATCTCTTTTTTTTTGTCTAAGATGCATACAGATGACCGTGTGAAATTAACAGAAAGTATGTAAACTTTAAATGGTAATGACTTTATGTACAATTTGATCGATTTAAATAAAGTTTAGAACAAAATGTATTTGTTTTCCTTTTAAATTAACTTTCGATTGGTCATCAGCTCTATATTTAACATTTTTTCTGGAAAGAAGTGTGCGCTGGCTCAATGATTCAATCTCGGTGTTGGTTGGATGGGACAAAACACCGTAGATTTCCGCCCCCCCCCCCCGGTACATACATGACGTACGCCAGACTTCATTATAGTCCGAACGGAGCAGAAAGTTTGACGTTAAAACCCCGTATCATATATTCCGGGGTTTTCAATTACATTTTAAACACTATTCGATATACTTGCCACCTTTTCGTATACTAGTTTTGATACTCTGCATTCGTTGGTTACTGGTATACATTATGTCATAGATCTATTCAAATTCATCCTCAAGCGTCGATCAGCATTGTCTATTTGGAACTATTATAACATGAACGGCCAGTTCGTTATCTAAATATTACATAATGTATATTACGATGTGATTTTAGTTTATATTGAAGTTGGATCTGAACAAATGAAATGAAATGGCGTTTAACATTTTATACCAAGCGGGTACATGGGGTTGGGCATGCACCCTGTGATTTGCTATGTGAATAATTTTGACCAACTGTCAAGGGTTTTTTCACTTTCACGTGCACGCCAACGTGTATACGGAACCTAGTTTTACATGTGAGAGGTGACATCATAATATTTTTCAAGGGTGTAATTGAGAAAACCTTATTTATATATCGTTATTGAATACTGATTTGCATATTGAATACATTCTTAGTGGTATTGCCCCTACCCCGAAAAAAACAAACAATGTGCGTTTCTATGTTAGATAACATGGAATACATCGGAAGCCGCGGTGCTTCGGTGAGTAAGGCTCCCTAATCAGGACGGAGGGTCATGGCAAGGAACGTGGTCTAGTCGTTCATATGGGACGAAAAACCAATGTTCCGTGTAAATTTCCTCAAATTTGCATATCGTTTGTAACTTAGTTTATACTTTTTTATATGGATTCTGTGATAATTTTATCGCTATATTAAGTTTTTGTAACTTTCAATTTTTTGTAACTTTCAATTTCAATTTTTTGTAACTTTCAATTTTTTGTAACTAACTTTCAATTTTTTGTAACTTTCAATTTAGTTTATACTTTTATATGGATTATGTCATAATTCTATCCCTATATTATATATGAACAATGATGTGAAGCGCCACAGAGCAGTATTACATACTGGAGGTCACAACGCTAGTATAAGAAGATCATTTTATTATTATTTTTTACAAAAAAGAATCAATAACAGTGGGAATAGGAAATAAGAGTAGACCGCAGCCCCGCTGTCCGGGCAAAATGTCGTCTTTGCACACTGAATGACGTATGACCGTCTTCATTACCCCAGTTGGTGCAGAACAGCAGGACGTTAAACCCCATTTCATTTTACGTTAGACCATACATACTAAATACTTCACTGTGTCCTTTCATGTGTATATTTTCACGTACAGATCACAAAGTTAAACGTCAGTCTTGAGAGCCACTTCATTAGCAAGCCTACACATTCTAACATGCTATCGTATGATAAAAATATTAACACGATTGGTCAAAAACACACGCAGACGTAAGAAATATTTGTTATGTCTCGTAGACGTCATACTACAGTCTACACGAGACATTTATACAAGTTTTAAAAACATTTCTCGATTGGTCAGTGTACAGTGTAATCGACTTTGTGTGAAGTGTCGGGACTCGACTAACTACTGTATAAAGGCCTAACTAACTGTGTTTATAAGCTAGACGCGTCTGATATATCCATATCGCTTCACGGCAGACGGACATTTATCGTCTGTTAGTTAACTTGGAGATCGCTTAAAATTGCTGAGAGGAGTCGAGTGAGGAGACGAAATCGGAGTCGCACCTTTTATGTTTTTATTCTAATCAGGTGTTTAGATCAGTAGACGTTTTTCTTCAATATTAATAATAATCATTATTATTTTTTTAAAATTCTCAGTTGTCGAATTCGTAGATTATTACAAGTCTGGTCGTTTGGAAGAAAATATAAAAAGACGAAGCGATTAATTCAGAAAAAAAATCAACTATTCGTTAATTAATACTGTCGCATTTAATGGTATTTGATTTTGTATAAAGTTTTGCGTGACCGGGAGGAATTCTAAACTGTGTTACGACAGAGTTAAATAAAATCTTATCAGGTGACATATCTTAAGAAAAGACTTTTTTTAATTCTGGATTATTTTCTTGGTGTTGTTTTTTGTTGCACAAGTGATAAGAAACACTTAAAAAGGTAATTAAAACACATTAAATCGAGAGTGGCTTCAAATAGTGTTTTGAAAATTAGAAGAAATCTACGCGTGTAGGATATGCTCAGGAAATGATAGAATTCATTGGATTTTAATCATCAACTACAGGGAGGTCTGCAAAATAAGTAGCTAATTAAACAAAAACAGTATATGCGTCGATCTTATTAGTATTTTATTTGGGACTGACACATGGTACATGTTAAACATTTATTCTTGTGGATTTAGTAAAACATTTATGATCTGAGAGATATTCAAGCTTTCAATTTTTAACACCAAAATAACCTGCTGACTTTGTTTGATCAAGTGTATATAGTCCTAACACGATTATTAACATGAGGTACCAGTGCTTCTTGGTGATATTCTTAGAATATGTTCTTCTTGATTTGAAAGGTGTAATATTGGCATCGACGGATCATAGATTATATCGCAGCGGGTAAGTCTGATAATAACTTATCTTTAAGACCTTTTAATAGTTTAAGCTTTGAGAATCGTTATCATTTTCAGCAAGACAAAAAGTTATATTTTCTTTTTTTTTTCTTTTTTTTTTGTTATCATATTCGTGAGCTACGATTGCTCTGTCGCCTCTGTGAGTATGGCGATGATTCTCCATTTTATTTCATCTCCGTAAATTGAAATTTAATAGACATTATAGTGCCGTTGCCATGGTCAATTGACCGTCACACGACACTACATTGCATATGTCTATCTCCATTAGCCCAGTTGGTGCAGAACAACAAAGCGTTAATTCAATTGGCCTTTCATAAAGTCTTGGAAAGAGTCAGACTCTTTTGATGTGATCCTGTCGATCGTATAAAATGGGTTGACATCTAAATACGAAAAGTATCCACAGTATCCACTTAAAGTAGGGTTATATGTTATCAAGTTAAATGGCAAATCTTTACACGGTAACATTCCGTTAACAACCCTTGTACTAGTAAATCGTGAGAATTTCACACACAAACTACCGAATATTTCAAGTTTACAAATGTTAAAAGGGAATTAAACTAATTGTTTGTTTGTTTGAAATTTACCACGAGACAGGTATAAACGATGGGTAATCTAGTTACCCATATGTTCTTGTCAGACTTTGAGGAATACAAACTCTGTCAATCTACAATTGACCCAAATTATAGCGGAGTCAAGGCAAGGCCTGTTAATCCTTGTGGAAATTTCTTACAAAGGAACATTTCTGATTCCTCGTACCTTTATGTTTACTGTTGATATGTGTCGCTTGGTTGAAATAGGAACAGCACTAAGCGTCGTTGTTTCGATGTCGAACCGACTTCACAGCACCCCCCTCTCTCTCTCTCTCTCTCTCTCGAATTAATCAGTGACACTTCATGAACAAGAGACACTCCGTTGGCCTTGTTCCCGTGTTGAGATAATTTATTTTTAGGAGGAACGGAAGGCACCTGTTCGTTATGAACAAATTGAGAATCAACATACGAGTATTTGTTTATTAAAATTGTGTTACCCTGTTGTGTTACTATACCCAGTCGGAAAACTGTTAATGAACATCGTTTATTGAAGCGATTGTACATAAGAAGCAATACTTGCTATTGTATATAGTATGTAAATGTGTCACGACTCATCAATTAAGTAATAAAATATTGTTTAAACCAAACTAAAGCGTACGCAAAAATTTAAAATAACCCATTGAAATAAAAACACCTTCAAGTACGATCGAGGCGCCAATTGTTTCTTTTATGGCATCAGAAAATTTAATAAAAACATTTTGAAAAGAAGGGAGATGCGTGCGAGTTGGTTACGAATTTCCCCCCAAAATGCACCTAAATTGACTTATTAAAACAAACATATGACTGTATGATTAGGGCTTTGATAACATGAAATAAACTCTTTTACACTTCTTCATATCAAAAGTAAATATTATGAATTTATATAAGGTCAAAAAACCAACTTGGTAAAGGATAACACATGCTGTGGCATGTTTCTAGACATCAATTAGAATGAATCCTGGCATTTACTAAGGCGTCGATGTCTTAAAAGTGCTTTAGTGAATTTGAAAAATATGGAAATGATATATTTTAACAACCTACTCTTCTGCACCAAACGGGTAAATCACGACGGGGGAAGTCGTAGTCCAGACAGAGGCGCATCGATATACTCTTATTTCGCAGTGGTTCCTTTACCTGCACGCCAAGTGTTATACAGAAGACCTCGGTTTATCGGCCCATCTAGAGGCTGTTCCCTGTCAATCCCCCTTCTAGTCACTGCCGCACAACTGACAAGTGGATGATACCTCGACGGAAAATTCCGAGGAACTTTCTCGACCAACACAGTGATCAAACCCGAGACCTTTTGGTTGGAGGGGGGTTGGATGGCTGAATGGTTAGCACGTGCGCGCTGTATCATAAAGTCTGTCATTGAGTCAACTGGCGTGGTTTCGATACCCCGGTTGTACGTGACAAGGAGTAGGGTCGCCTGTCCAACCTCGTGGGTTTTCTCCGGGTCCCTCCACTGCTAAAGACCCCTACGCGCAAGCGAAATATGAAAATAAAATTGAACCATGTGTTAGTCCCGAAATGACCTAGTTTGTGTCCAGTTGACGTTAAACTCTCTCTCCCTCTCTCTCTCTCTCTCTTTGGTTAGCGAGCTTACACCTAACTGTACCGGGGTCAATGTCTTGAATGATATCAATTTTCTACGGTTTAATCTGAACTTTTAAATTCAACAGAATTTTTAAAACCAAGTAATTGTTTTAACACATGCAAACTGCAAAACACATACAGAATATTAGACCTTGGCATTTTGCAAATATTCAGTAATGTCAAACTGTCATTGAACTCCGCAAAATGGAATGCTGTTTAGAAATGAAATTAAATCAAACGGGGTTTAACGTCCTACTGTTATGCTCCCACTGTGGAGTTTAGTGTCTCGACAATACAACAGTAACAGTTCGGTCAGTTTGAGACAGATATTTGTATTTCTATGGTTACGCGTATAATGATATTTACGAGAATTGTGCCCGGGCAATGGCTTACACTTCTTCGACTTCAAGATATGATGGTTCATATCACAAGTACGCCAATATGCATACTTATGGACCACGTTTTTCCGTACGAAACAAAGGATAGAGTGTCCTTTTCAACCCTCGCCTTCACCACCCCTGACAGTTGAAGGTCGGACTTAACCTCTTCTGGGCCACACCTTTATTCGAGCCCTACACATTCTAGGCGAAAATCCAGCCAATGATTTATTTCTTGAAATAATGGCTTCCGCGGATGATTTTCCACGTTGATTTCACAAGAATCGTCGAATATGTGCGCGATATTTGGCCAATTTGCAGAATTAGTAGTCCTTGACACGTTAAGCTCAGAGAGAAAAAGACAAAAAAATCAAAAACTAAAACTAAAAGAAAAAACTATTGAATCAAACATTTTGAAGTTTTGGATTGCTTTTATTGTAGAAATTTACCCCGCTTCCATTAGCCAGATTGGTGAAGAAAGGTTGGGCGTTAAGCCCCATTTCATTTCAGATGTTGGATAAAATTAGCGATATTTGAGGATACGAATTACGAGCCAAAATAATTAATACGTGCTCTATTTATTGAAAAGGGGGGTTGTGGAAGAAAACAGTTGTGGTGCCATCATGGTTCGCAGTGTTAATTGGCGTATGGATCGTCTGCATTCAGTGGCAGATCTACCGTGTGCATTCATTAAAATAAAGAAACAGATGCTATGTGCATGCATATAAAATATCATCAAATTAAAAGTGAACTTTTCATCCTGGACGTGGGAATTATTCAATCTGTGAATCTGAACCTAAAACGCACTCTTTGGCTTGAGAGGCTATAACGGTACTTTGTTTGGCGTGATAATGGATGGAGGTACTTTGTTTTGTTTGATAGGTGATAACGGTACTTTGGCTTGATATCTAGAGGTTAACGGGACTTTGATTTGAAATGGGACAACGATACCGCGTTTGTCTTAATAAGGAAAAGAGGTACTTTGGCCTGATTGTTGAAGATAACGGTACTAGCCGTACTAGTGGTACTTTGTTTGGCTTGATAGGGCATAGCTGTACCTCGCTTTGCCTGATAGGGTATTACTGCACTTATTTTGCTTGATATAGGATACTGGCACTTGGTATTTAATGTTTGGCTTGATACGATATAACGGTACTTCAGGCCCATTTCATGTACGCCGAGCGGATCAATTTGAAATTTGTTTCTCCTATATCCACAAACCATCAAAATCTCACGGGAAAAGTCCCAATTGACCTTCTAATTACGTATTTTTAGTAAATATGTCGCGTTTGTTTCTGGTGAATTTAAATATTTTGTGCATCTTTTCTTACCCTACGAAACTAGGCCTTTAAGTCCAAAAAATGAGAATGTTTCTGCTATTAGATTTGGTGCAGACACATATAGGACCTTAAATCCCATTTCATTTCATTGCTGTTAAGACCTTAAACCCTATTTCATTTCACTTAAACATGCATTATGCAAGAGCAAAATCTCCCATAATGTATCTTTAAAAGGTCATTCAGATATAATCTAACGGGCTCGGGAATATTATGCACTGTCATGTATCATGCAGATTGATGTTACAGTTGGCTAATCACGACCATGCATTTAATAAATATTTGTTATAAAACTGCACTCGTTACCGCTTCTGCTTGGAGACGAAATCCTATTAACGTTAAAACGACATTGAGGTTTTTGAATCTTGATACTATAAGTCACGTGTGTAATTCTAGGAAGTGGAAGAGAATTTTGCCACGGCCACCCGTTTCCACCACCTCTCGATCCAATTCCAACTGTCATCATGGGTTTTGTTTCACGTGCACGCCAATGTGCACATGGGAGGACCCGGGGTGTTCTTCCCATCCCAACGACTGGACACTGTTCCATGACAGGTCTTCCGTTCTGCACCAGGATCGAACTCGAAACATCCTGCTTAGTGTGTCAGCGCATTTCTGAATGAGCCACAAGCCCCCCTTATAACACACTGCCCGTATTCATTAGCCTTGTTGGTGGAGTCCCTGCATTGGCCGAGAAAGTTGGCCGTTTGGATGGGACCAAAAACCGAGGTCCCGTGTTGGCAGTTGGAATTCGATATATAAGTAGGCCGTAGCGCCACTGTCCGGGCACACTTTTCCTACTCGCCGACTGTATGACGTATGCCCGTCTTCATTAGCCCAGTCGGAGCAGAACAGTAGGACGTTAAACCCCATTTCCACCTGATATGTAAATTTGTCTGAACCGTGAAGGTCAATGCGAAATCGTCCATATCAAGATCTTCCGTGGATTAAGCTTGTGTATTTGATACTTAAAGAGAAACGTGTCGGCTTCCTAATGAATATGCAAATCATTAGGACAAAACACCTATTCTGACATCCTATAGAGCGACACAATGCTATGGCGATATCCGATACAGCCACCCAATTCTGACGTCCTATAGAGCCACACAA